TCACAGTGCCAGATCAGCAGTGCCACGTCCGCAGTGCCAGATCAGCAGTGCCACGTCCGCAGTGCCAGATCGGCAGTGCCACGTCCGCAGTGCCAGGTCACATTGCCACGTCAGACATAGTGCCACGTAAGCAGTGCCACGTCAGACACAGTGCCACGTCAGCAGTGCCACGTCAGCAGTGCCACGTCAGCAGTACCACGTCAGACGCAGTGCCACATCAGCAGTGCCACGTAAGCAGCATTGCCACGTCAGCAACATGACGGGCCTGCCAGGCCAACTGGCCAATGAGACCATTGCCGCCTACAAGCAGCGTTGCCTGGCTCAGATAGAGGCTGAGGAACAACGCCTGCTGGCAGTCGAGGCTGCCCGCATACAAGCTGAAGAGGCAGCAGCAGCAGAGAAACTGCGGCTACAGGCCGATGCAGAAGCAGATGCCCAGGCTCGCCGAAAGGAAGCCCAGGATCTGCTGCAGCGGCATGAAGCCAACAGCATCGACAGACTCAGGTTCTGGCACTTTGAACCGAACGGCGACGAGGCAACACCGGAAGAGAAGCACAAGGAGTTCCTCTCCAAACTCGTGACAAGGTTGTTGTACGCTTGCAACTACCAACGGTCAGAGTTGGAAAGACAGTACCAGGACCTGACGCAACAGCATCAGGAGTTGGCAAAGCTCCGCCGCATAGTGCAGAGCCACGAGGATGCAACTCGGGCACTCAACTCCCGATTACTGGACCTGGAACAGGCTGTACCAGGACCAGCTGTTGGGGCTTCCAGCAGTGCATTCTCTAGCCGCCAACTGGAGGACCGCGTTGACCATGTAGTCGCAATGCTCGGCGACATCAGCACGTTTGCTGCGCCGACCACCACCATCAGCAGTCAGCTGCATACATTGAAGACCGAGGTCCAGAAGCTGCAGTCGACGAATGCGGAAGACAATCCGAAGATGTACAAGATGCCAACTTTCAACCTGGAGAGGTTCGACGACTACACGCAGCAGGATCCCGTCCTCTGGTGGGAAGCATTCACAACGCAACTCCGGATTCTGCCAGTAGCCAAGCATGCGTACATCGACGCCTTGTTCCTGAACTCAAAGGGCGGATGCCAGACCTGGTTGAGCCACCTGGCAACCTCCCACGGCGTCGACGTACCAGACTTGAAGGACGTAATCACATGGGAGGAACTAACACGGTTGTGGAAGAAGCGGTTCATCGTCGACGACGCGCCAGCACTCGCCATTAACCGTTTGTTCATCATGTCACAGGGCAACACAGCAACACGGGACTGACTCACGGAGTGGCAGAAGATTGCGGTTGTGCCCAATCTGAACCTACCATTCGAGCATCTACGCCGTGAGTTCTACAACAGGTCCTGTGCGGCATTGAGCCAGGCTCTTGGTGATCGCGAGCAGYACTCAACCTTCGYGGAGATYATTGACAAAGCGAGGGAGATCATCAAGACCAACAGGTCAGCTGCACACGAAAAATCAACATCATGGCAGCCGACCTATGTGGAGAAGGTACGAACTGGTCCGCGACAGCAGCACTTCGCTGCAGTCCAGCAGGACAGTGGAGATAACCCAGCAGCCACTCCAGCATGAAGTGACGGAGATCGGGTGGCTGCTGTCCAGCCGCGAAGCAACAACAAGTCCCGCAACAATGGGAAGGCGAAATCCGCATCGCAGGCCGGAAATGGACAGCCATGACAGTTTCCATGGGTCAAGTTTGGCTTGACCGAGGCGGAGTACAAGGTCCGCGGCCGCTACGGCAGCTGCTATTGGTGCAACAGCACCAAGCACAAGACCTCCCTGTGCCAAGATCAGGGCAAGGAGGATGTGCGACCCCGCCTCA